TTCAGCAGGCTGTACCCACTCACCACTAACACAGGAAAAGCAAACAATTTGTTGTCAGCAGCCTAACAAGGATTTTTGTTTGGATTTCATTTTGACAATGAAAACTTAGAAGCAAACTGGGAGAGTAAGATCTCATTTCAGCAGGCTGTACCCACTCACCACTAACACAGGAAAAGCAAACAATTTGTTGTCAGCAGCCTAACAAGGATTTTTGTTTGGATTTCATTTTGACAATGAAAACTTAGAAGCAAACTGGGAGAGTAAGATCTCATCCTAACAAAAAAAAAAAAAAAAAAGACCGGGTAAAAAAAAAAAAAAAAAAAAGCCCTGGATGAATTAAATAAAGCCATGTAAAAGGTATGGACTGCTTTTAAAAGAGTTTTCCCACAGGATACTGTGAATGAAATTGCAGTATGTCTCAGCCAGAGTACCAACTACTGCTCAGAAAACACTCTTAAGTGATTTCTCTTTTCAATACAAATTAGCTTAAAATCAAGCAAAGGCTAAGTATTTTAGTAGTCCTAATACTTATTCCACATCACTTACACTGAACATGAGGAAATACTAAAGAAAAGTCTCCCAATTTTAGTCCCATTAATCAGATATCTTCATTTGCTACTCAGAGAGGTGGGGGGAACCCAAACACAAACCAAGAGAGCTTGACGACACATGGAAGTACAAAATGAAGGATTTTACTGAGTTAGCAGATTGTAAGCACCCAGCAGATGTTACTCAGTACTTCCGAAAATCAACATATTCTTGTGTTTATTACAGCAATAAGGGAGTAAAAATGATACCTGGCACAGAGTTTCATTTCTGTGACACAAAATGGGATCACAATGACTTCTCACATTTTTATCACCCCTGCCCTAGTGCTACTGAGTAATCTAAGTTTAGCTAAAAGCATGTCAGTGTAATGTTCCACAGCAATCCTTATCTTGTGTCACATACACTCTGCTGACCTTGGCAGGTAGCTTTTGGGGTGATTTCAGGTGAAGCCTGCAACATTTTTACCAGCACACCTTACTTCCTCCCAGAGCACCTCTGCTCACCTTTTAACATAAATTAGGGTACACCCATACTAATTTACAGGCTCTCATCATCTCTGGACTAAACTACAATACATTGTTTTAATCTAAGCACAGATATCTGCTATGAGAAAACATTTCCAGAACATTCACTTCTAAGTCATCTTAGGAATCAAAGAAATAATTGGGGTGAGGGAATTGTTCATAGGATGCTGCATAAATACTTCAGGTTTTGGTAGAGTTTATAGCCTATGCCACATCATGTAGCAGGAAATTCACTGGTTCAACACACATCACAGCTTAAAACATCCATACTTTACCAAGTTCATCTTCACATCAGATGCATTTAACATTTTGCAACCTGTCAAAATCATTTATACAGCAAAGCAAGTTACTCTTTTATGTAAATACTGTAGATCTGAGTACATGCCACACAAGCATCAAGAATTAAAAGCCATGAACTGCTGAGATAACATTCTATGAGTTCATTTCTGCAAAGGCTTCACAGACTGAACAGAAGACTGAGACAAGTCTATGCGCAGATTCATTTACTCACCAATAGAAATTGTTTATATTGTTTCTCTTCAAAAGCCACACTTGAGGCTTTTACTAACCAGGCACATCTGTAACAGCAGTTGTGCCCTGGAATGTAAGACACAGTATCTACAGCCCACAAACATGCACATATGACCCCGACAGTCAGCCTAGGGGACACAGATTCAGCTGTTGGTCTGACTGTCACAAACCTGACAGGCATTGTGGGAGCAGAGGACACAAAAGGCACTCTGAACACACGAGTTTATGCTGTATATAAGAGGGGATGTTTGCACAAAAGCCTAATGCAGATCTCAGTGACAAATGGCTGTGTCTGTGCAGTTAGGTCTAGTATTGATAAATTAGTGTGATATATGATTGCAGCACAATCACCACAACACAAACAAACATCTATATACTTCAAGATCCTCTTCTCACACCTGAATCTTCAACATTATTTTTACATTGACATTGTACAGCTGGTAAAAACCACCAGAATTTAAGTGACGTTCATTCCATTCCATTTTTGCAGTAACACAGTCTTGATATCAACATATCCAAGAGTTCTTTACAGCTACTACAGAAGTCCCTAATACCCTTTCATCAAGTAAGTGTTAAAACCTAAGAAAACCAGACAGATAATCACCTTCTGAGCAAGGAAAAACCCAGAGACAAACCCAAAGGGGAAGTGCTTTTAAAGTACCAAAATTGTAACATATCTAGAGATTGTTTTACATTTCAAACAGACAAAATCTCTACTACTAACATCAATTGAATGTGCATCTCTAACTCACAAATAGGAGACCAAAAAGGTAGAGCAGTAGCCCAAGGTCATGTACCATGTCAGCTGCACAGAATCAGAGAACCCAAACGTACCCCACACTCCATCAGACCACAGCCTCCTCTTAATTAGACAGGAAAATTAACATACTGAAAAAAGCAACAAAATTCAGCTACTAATCAAATCTTCCTAGAGGAGTCAGCAATGTGTGTTCTGTGACCTCTGCCAGTCTGGTCTCATACTTACTCAGACTCAGCAACGAAAGCTTAAACCTTGGTGAATATGATTTTTCACTTACTTGGCTATAATAGAACCAAATCATGTACCTTGGCATGAAAGACTAACAAATTGTTGTCATTTGTCTCATCAGATGACAGAAACACGCCTGACATTTCAGGAACAAAAGTACATCTCCTTCTCACCCTCTGCGAGGGGAAAAGGGTGAAGAGGAAGGAAAAAACCCCTTTGAATAACCATTTATTCAATTTCCAAGAGCCAGCCTGATTTCCTCTCCAGGAAACAGAAGAGTGAGTGAAGCACATCTGTCCCCAAGGCCAAGGTCAGTCACCACTCGGCTGGTAGCAGTGTATTGCAGACTAAACCCCAGAGCCTTTGAAGGTGTTGGTGTGGGGAAAGCAGACCACCAACACAGCACCAACTGCAGCAGCTACACCAGGGCAACCCTTCCCCCAGGAAACACAACAGCCTCAGAGCACGTTCTCCTCTGCCCATCCTAATTAGCTAGCCCTTAGCTAAAGAGTCACAATTTCCATTCCCCCCCAAAGAGCTGCAGAAATATTTTTCATGTAGTTAATTACAACTCCAGGGCAAAGTATATTACTATAAACTTTTACTCCTAGCTAAACAATTTAATATTCTGCAGTGTTTTGTTTCTGTTGTTCAGCTCCCCAAGACATGGAACCTTCATCTTCTTCCTGTAGTCTGCTCAGTTTTCCAGGAAGGATATTCCCTTTACACATAATGTAAAATGTCTGCCTAAACATGCTTTTTTAAGAAAAAAAGTTTAAAATATTCTTATGCTTTTACTCCCGTATGCAAAGCAAGATGTTCATTTAATGCCTTGCCTATCCAAAGGTCAGTTACCAAATTTGGTCAACAATAGTGCCATCACAGCCGTCATCATTCTTGTCACTGTCAAAAGCAACAACTGTCACCTTGCTATTATCAGGAAGGGAAGGCAACTGGAATATTCACCATGTAAGTTCTATTTACAGTCTGCATTGCATCCAAAAATGTCTTCCAGTGATTATACATTGAGCCTGATAACGATTAACCCAAAGGCAAGGAGAATGTCCAGTTAAACACTTACTGACTCAAGGTTAGTTTTCAAAGCCAACAAAAGCATTGGGAAATCCCACCTCAAACAGGCAAACTAGGCTGAATAAGAAGTGCTTTTAAACACACCTGTCTAGTGTAGGTTATGTACTTATGACTCATGCAATGAAAGATTCCCTCAAATTTTGTTTTCCAGCATACAGAAACCTCATCACAAGACAACTCATTTAAGAGACACCAATTTACTTTCCATCTCATGCTTCTACTAGTCAAGAAAGAATAATTTCTGTATGTGCAGTTTGTATACATTGAAGCATGTCACTCTGAGATACAGAAGCTTATGAAATTAGAAATAACCATACTTACAAAAGATATGCAAGCAGCCAGCAACAAAATCCTAACTAGTAAGTCTTCAAACTGTTCAATCACAAGCTCGAGTAAGGTTTTACCTGCAACGTGTAAAAAAGCCATTTAGTTATGCACATTTAAAAGTAACGATGAATTATCAACAAGAATTGCCGAAGATTTTACAAACACTCACCTTCCTCAGCGGGTAACTCTGCCGGTGGAAGATTTTCCCAGGAAGCATGTCAAAGAAAAGAAATGGTTGAAGATTAGAGCATTATAAGGCATCCACCAGATATTGTTCCTGAACTGCACACACAAGACACACTGTGAGCTCCATCACGGTGGCTCTTTTCAGCAGAGCATGTGAATGGGTCCAAGAGTTTTGCATTTTATGACACAAAGGTTAGTCCGAATGTGCCAAGGGTTATAATTCAGCCAAGTCATCACTCCAGCCAGCTGTGTGACTTCTGTTGCTGCACACAAAGGGTCAAAGGCTCAAAACGCTTTTCAAACCTTTTCCTCCACATTCACTTCAAAAAAAAACGCCAAACCATCAAACTTGGCTCGACATATCTCAAATTCTTTCCTCCATTTTAAGGATTTTTTCTTATTTCTGCTCTCCCTTTTATTTCCCCAATTAGATTTAATCATCCAAGAGGCACAAAAGCAGCGTTAGAGCTAAAACATCACCTCCACCACATAATCTTCTCGAGGATTTGCATTTTTACACAACGGCATGGGAGTTCAGAAGGGACCAGAAAGGCCAAGCAGTGAGGATTAAGAAAAAAGGAACACCTTATGGGGTGAATTGTGTGTCCCGACTCGAGCGAAGAATATAAAATAAGGGGCTGAAAAACCAGGGAAAATGAAGGTCAAGACGGACACGAAAAACACAATTAAACCCCAAGGGGCCTCATTTGCGACTGGAAGAAGGTTCCGCACGGTTAGGGCGAGAGGGACGGGAGGTGACATCTCCCCCCGGAGCAGCCCCACGAGCTCGGCGATGGCAGAGACACACGCGGTGCACTTCGAGTCAGCCATCTTCTCCGCCGCGCTGCTCCGCCTGGCAGCGGAGCGGGCC